GGGGCTGCGGCTCTCGGGAGGAACCTGCTCCGGGCAGAGCGTCTGTTCCGCGGGGGCCCTCTCCTCCGAGAGAGAGGGGAAGACGGCGCGGAGGTCTCACAGTGAGAAGCTTTCTGGGTCCCAGAACTCGTGGGGCCACCTGTGGCCCCCGCCTCCCGAGGCTTGGAGGATGGAGGCTCTTCCCCGGCGCCGCCCGGCTGGAAGGAGCGTCCTTCGGATTGAGGCCTACGGCTTGTGGTAGCGCGCGGGGCGCAGACCCTGCATATTTGGTGCAGCTCTGCTGCAGCTGGATCTGCTGGGGGCGCGACAGTCTGGGCTGGTGTGGGTCTGACGCTAGCGTGGCGAGAAACAGGACTATCTTTACGTGTGTCTGAAAGAGGAGGCTTTGTGCACAGGAGTGTGTGACAGGCGTGCACTGGAGCACGCAGATGTTGTGCCTTGTGGCTCTTCCACGTAGGTATCACAATTGTAATGACGTGTGTAATTTCCTAATGTCTATCTCTGGCAATAGCCTAAGTGTCGTAAAGGTAGGTGCTGAGCAGGTCCTGTTCACGGCACCTGCCATAGTGCAGGTCCCTAGCAAATATTTTTTTGACTGAAGAATGAATTAATGGATACCTGTGTGCCCAGTCGTGTGTTAGGTGTTTGGGAAAGATCCAGGAGTGAAAACCCTTGTGTTCAGGGAGGCTATAATACCCACAATGCCGTTACAATCAGGATTTATTGTCTATTTTTTGAAAAATGAATTATCAGTACACACCTTGCACAGTACTTGTTGATTGTAAGGCTGCAGTTTGGCAGAAAAGTGTGGCCTGGCTGGCTGAGCTCTTAGAGGTGGCACTTGAGCTAGGGACGGAGTTGGGGGTGGAAATTGCGGCGACTCTGGTCTTTTCCAGCCAGGAGACTGACATCTGTGCAGACAGAGGAAACAGCTGACTGAAAAGGCCTTTCAGTTGTTGCCTCGAAGGTACTGAAACAGAAATACTGTTGAAACTCACCCTGCTGCTGTGTTGGGAGGCCCAATGGTACGTTCTTCCTGCTGTGTAACCTGTGTGTATTAGCGTGTTCACCCATAACAGAATACTACAGACTGTCGGAGCTGAACAACAGAAAGTTATTTTCTCATAGCTCTGGAGGCCAGAAATCCAAGAGCATGGTGTCAGCAGTTTTGGTTTCTTCTGTGGCCTTGTGCAGCCTTTTCTTTATGGGTGAACATCCCCAGGATCTTTGCTTCTAATGAGACCAGTCATTGGTTTGGGGCCCCACTAGTTTGACCTCATCATTTAACCTTAATTAGACCTCCTTAAAGGCTCTGCCTCCAAATACAGTCATATTATGAGATATTGGAGGTTAGGGGTCCAATATAAAATTTTTGAGGGTACGCAATTTAGTCTATAATAAGGGGATTTCCTTCATTAGGAGTGTGTGTGTTTGGGTTGTTTAGAAGGAAGGGAGGCAAATAAATACATTTATAATAATAGGTTATATTAAAATTATGTCTTGGGTCTGGGGATTTGTCTCAGTGGTTCTGCCGCCTGCCTCGCAAGCTCAAGGTCCCGAGTTCCATACCTGGTACCACAAAAAAAATTTTTTTTGGGTCTTGCTTTATCCAGGATTTAGGGTCTCTTGCTATGTTAAATCGGCACCGCAATTTGAACCCCAGAGTACTCATGGCTCACTTTCCCTTCAGATGTTCAACATCCTGCAAGCCTTGTAAGGGGGCAGCCACAGAGATCTTGAGCTGACAGAGAAATCCTGTGCATGTACACTCCACACAATAGTCTCTCACTTGACCTTACCTAAGGGACAACTCCGGATCTTATATTCACTTAGATAACATGCACATCTTTTCTGGGCTGTCACCGTGTCAAATGCAGGAGGTATAGTAAAACAAAGTTGCTGCCCTCGTGGCGTTGATTTTCTAGTTGGGCAGGTAGAAAGTAAACAGGTAACAAAGATACACCGTAATGTCAAACAGTGATATGAAGAGCAATAAAGCGGAAAAAGGGGATGGGTGCTGTTTTACGTAGGGTCATGCAGGTGGCCTCCTGCCAGGTAAGCTCAGAGCTGGATCACCATATAATTCTTTTTTTCTCTTTTTCTTGTAGACACCGTAAGGTCTAGTGAAAGGAGCAAGACGTCTGATTTGTTACCTATCCAGCTATGTAACTATGGGAAGTTACCCTTCCTGAGTCTTAGTTTCTTCATCTGTAAGATGAGAGCCATATTACCCTTCTCCTTAGTGTTGTGAGGATTAAAGGTGAATGTCCAGCACACAGCTTGGTAATTGGAACTTATATTAGCCCAGAGGGCCTCTGGGATCTGTGCCCCGCTGTGGCTTATTCTTCCCTTTGGTGTCCTCTCTGTCCAGGATGGACAATAGGAGGAAGGAGGGTTTTGTTTATTAAGTGTGTATGTTTTGCATGCATTGTTTGTGGTTATTGTAAATCACTTTTCCTCATTTAGGCGTCTTCAAAAGCAAATATACTTCAAAGGTTTTTAGCACTTATCTCCAGGAAAAACCAGCTGGGAGCAGACACTTGAAAAAAATCATGAGAATTTCTAAATTCTTTGTAAGATTCTCCTTGCAGGGCTACAATCTCTTATTTTTATCTGTGAATACAAAAAGCTCTGAAAACCCAAAACTGACTGGATATAAGGCTATTTATAGTCTCCGTTCACCGTTCACTATTATATTTATATCTTACTGCAGAAATATTACTATTTTGCTTGTAGGATGGTGTCCCCAGGACTTGTAGCAGTAATATATGAAATATACTATATTATATGAAAAATACTTTTACTTTTCTAAAATCTATAAAATTCTGAGTCTTGATTTAAGAGTAGATATTATGGACGTTTATTGCATAATAACAGTAGGAATATTGCCTACCAAGGAAGATGTGTTCTCTTAGAGGAATTTCACCGTGTGGAATCTTGGATTCATCAAACATTGTACTTGGAAAGGCCCTTGGAGATCACTGCCAACCTCTTTCAATGCACAAATGAAATAATGGTGCACTTTGCTTGAGGGCACAAAATCCTTAGCTAAATTTGATTATGGAAAGTCATTGCCAGTTTTCTCTGTGAGCGTGTGGGAAGAAGGCACAAGAACTAGCTCCAAAGTGATGCCTGCCCACTTTGTTTCTGTTCCCCACTCATTTTTCCCCCTTAACTTCGGTAGGTAGTTGGGTTTTTAAAAATAATTGTGACAGTTTCAAACTACTTTACTTATTAGAGCTCTATAGTGGTGCTGGGGATTGAACCCAGGGCTTTGGGCGCATGCTAGGCAAGCGCTTTACTACTGAGCTTTTATCAGAAGCCTGGGTAACTGGCTTTTATCAGAAGGAATCGCTGTGCTATCTCCCAAAGGCAGTTTGTGGGGGTGGGAACATTGGAAAGGAGAGGTGAGAAATATCAAATATCACTGGATACATTCTAGTTTCAAAGGATTCCTCTTAAATAGAAATTATGGTATTCTGAGCATGGGTCTGACATCTAAATGTAGGTTGCCTGTAACAACCTCTTAAGAGTAAGTATAGAATTGCATCTGTTGTAGACTCAGAGAGTATATCAGGGTGAGGGAAATTGGGACAAGTAAGTAGATATTGACAGTTTTGGCTCTCACATTTTTTCACTTTTACTTATTTTTTCCCTAGGGTGCAAATAGCTATGGGCAACTTGGCCTTGGACATAAGGAAGATGTGCTTTTGCCCCAGCAACTGACTGACTTCTGTAAACCTGCGTGTGTGAGGAAGATCACAGGAGGAGGGGGACATTCTACAGTTGTCATGGGTAATTTCCTTCAAAAGTTGATAGCCACTTACTTTCTTATTTAGACATTTTCCTTTAGGATGTTAAATTACCATATTTCAGCCTTTTGAATTTTGCAAAGGAAAACCCTTTTGGAAATAGCCAAATTACCATTAGAGAATTTTAGATTTTAAGAGTTAGGAAGACTTCAAGAGACCTAGGCCACCCTACAATCCCCACATTATTCAAATGAGTCTTAGAGAGGAACATCGATTGCTTAAGGTCATATGCAGATTAGTGGCAGCGTTAGAATACATATCATATTCATACCATATATTGGTATTTAACTTTCACATCTGAGTTAGAAGTATTTGCAATTAGATTGAATATTCATTGGGAGCAAGAACACTGTAGTTTCTTTATTCTTCCCTCCTGGTACCTAGGATAGTACCCAAGTACTCTGAGTGTAATGGTGTTGCAAAGGAAGGCATACTGCACCTAGTTAAAAACATGAGCTCTGGGATTAAACTGCCTGAGTTCAAATCCTGGTTCAGTCATTTGTTAGCTGTGTGGCCTTGGGCAGATAGTCTTTCTGTGCCAATCAGTTCCTCGTCTGTTATAAACTCAATTTGTTCAGGAGGGCTGGTTGTAACTCAAGTTGGTCAGTGAAGGCTCAGGTTCCTCTACACAGCCTTCAAAGTCTCTCTCCTGTATACAGACAGATGTCAGTGTCCTTAGACATTGGCCCAGGATTTCTCAATTAACTCCACACAGGAAAGGATATTGTAATGTTCCTTCTAGAACTCTTTAAGGGATAAATCTATATCTGAGACCACGTGGAAGCATAAGTGGCTGGCATTTGCATCATAATTCAAGACTTTGGTCATAAGTTAAAACAAAAATTCCACTCATAAGCCAAGTTGTTTGTGTATCAGGCCAGTTGTAATTTGAGGGTCCATTCTATGTGGGGATAATAATGGTTGATGAGGAGAACCAGTGGGTTCACAGGGCTGCATTATGACTTTCTCGAGTCCTTGGCACTTTTCATGGACCCCTTCCTCTGTAAGGTAACAATTACTTTACAACTGTGGTTCTGTAAAGATGAATATATCCCAGGCTGGATTTAGTACTATATATACATTTTTAACTACCTTATTTTTTTTTTTTCACTTTAAAAAATTTAAAATGAAGTCATTTTCATGGGCCTTTAAAAGTCTTGTTGGCCATAGATACTCTACCTAAAGGATAAGTATTTGGCCTTGCACATAAAGTTCTTAGTACCTGGCACATTTCAGTGTTGAATAAATACTAGCTTTTTTGTTATAGTAGGTGTGCCATTTGGTAATCGATTAGCCTTCCCCCTTTCCCCCTGCTCCAAGGCTTAGAGTTTCTATTTAGATATTAGGTTTTAGGCCCGTGAGCCTGTGTCATTTGGCTTTAGAACACATTAATATACATAGATTGCTAACATTAACTTGGGTGATAAACACTCATCTCTGACTTCAAATAATTAATGAAAACCCTTTGGTCACTTTGACAGTTGTGATTTCCCATTTGCACTTTCACCCGAATCTTTGCATTTTGCAGATGGAGGAGGCCTTTTTGTTTGTGGCTTGAACAAAGATGGGCAGTTGGGACTTGGTCACACGGAGGATGTTCTGTGTTTTACCCTCTGCAAATCCCTTGGTGGCTGTCCCATCCAGCAGGTAGCCTGTGGCTGGGATTTTACCATTATACTCACAGGCAAGTTCACTCCTGGGTAAATCTTTGTCATTACAAAGGCTTTGGGTAAGAGCAACACAGTGGTGGTGACTCCTGATTAAAGTAAAGCCTTTTCATGTTTCGAGCACATGCACAGTGTTCTCTCTGGTCTAGGAACGTTGCAGGACACATTTTACAGAGAGAGTTTCAGCATCAAAGGAGATCAGGATGAGACTGAAAAACTTCTGCTAGAGACTAAGGAAAGCACTAGATCATCTTTGGTGACTGCTTCCCATTCTTAAAGTTCATGGTAGGTGTGGGCTGGGCTAGCTGGCCAGGAGTACCAGTTTGGGCCATCAAGGGGGACTGTGATAGGGAAGAATGAGAAGTAGGGGTTTCCACAGAAAGGAGGGATTTTTCCCCACTGAGGGATGGGTATTTTTTTTTCTTCTTTACTACTGAGGATCAAGAATGTGCTAGGCAAGTGTTCTACCACTGAGCAATGCCCCCAGCCTCATATATCAGGAGCAGGAAGTTTTAGCTGGACAGAACTTTTTAATCTTTGTGAAGCCAGGTAACAGTAGAATATAAAGGTAATGATTAAAGGGTTAATAGAATAATGCTCTGTGAGCAGCTCGGAGTAGTTACTTTGTCAGTTAACTTTTTCTTTGAATCAGTTTTGACTAATTTGGCTTTGCCCTCTGAAGCTGTCCATTTTGGATTTAAAAGATCATCTGTGGTTTCTGACTTGGCTTCTTTATCACAGTTCTCTGGCACAGACATTTTCTGACCATGGCCCCCTCCTGCCCCAAGCCCCTGTGGAGTCTCACATGTATAGCTGAAATCCCAATATTTTTAGCCTATACCTTCTAGAACTATTCACCTCTCTCTGTTGCCTGTCTCTTATTCTCCACGCTCCTTATACTTCGCTTCCTAGTAACACCAAACAGTGTAAGCTTTTCTCTGTCTGGCCCAGCCTCTCTTTATCTATCTCATGAACTTTTATCCAGCTTTAAAATTCTGCTCAGATGTTACCATTTCTCTTCTGCAGATGGCTTCCATAATATGTTTTGAATTTAATAGCAATTATTAGAATCTAAACAGAGGCTGGGATGTAGCTCTGTGGTAGAGCACTTGTCTAGTATGTGCAAGGACTTAGATTCAAACCACTAAAGGAAGTCTTTAGCCATGTAGAATTTGAATGGTAGCTGTCATTTATGAAGTGCTTACTGCTGGCCTGTGTTGGGATTGTAAGGACTCAGTAGATAACACTATGATTCCTGCCTACATCTGGAACTGATTGTGAGAAAGATACAGATTATCAGAGCTGAGGACCAACTGAGGACTGTCAGCTTTTTACAGATAAGACTAAGTTGGAGGACGGGGTTAATTATGAAGCCAAGTGGTTCTAAAACTTCTCTGGTCTAGAATTTCCCTCTGAACTCTAGAGAACTTCTCCATAGGGAAATCCTTGCTGTCTATCAGCCCAGAATACCTGAGAGGAAGGTATTCTCCCAAACTCACCCTTTGGTTACCTGACTCCTTGTTTCCTAGAAAGCTGTGAGTGTGGCGAAAGGCAAGGAGAAAGGCCTGGAGTGTTGTAAGAATGGAAGTTTTGTCACATACAAACATGAAAAGTGGGGAAAAAGTGTCTTTCCATCTCAATACTCAGCACTGAGCTAAGTGTTCTGCACAGATAATCTGCCACTAATGGTGTGTAATGATTTATATTGAAGCCTAGTGCCCACTTCTATTCCTAGAGAAATAAGTAGGAACATGGGCTAAGTGCACAGGATCTCTACTACCTCCTCTCATCCCCTTTGTGCCGCTTCTCCTTTGGCCACAGATGTCTTATTTCTTAGATTTGCAATTTCCTTGTATTTTGCAGAAAATGGTCAAGTTCTGTCTTGTGGATCTAACTCCTTTGGCCAGTTAGGTGTTCCTCATGGGCCTCAAAGATGTGTGATTCCCCAGGCCATCGAGGTGAGTACATTTAATATTTGACTTGCCTATATCCTATTAAAGTGTTTCCAGGCCATTGTCGCTATCCTCACAGGTTGCTAGGTCCCTGAAAACCCATGGGGTAGTGAATTTGAGTTGGGAAAAGTTAGTTTGGTGGGGATTGATATTATGAGTGGAAATACCTCTGTTAGTCCTCGTACACATGCTAAGGCTTTGTGAACTATAAAGATAATAATACATCTCATAAGGACATTAGTGACATCTTACAATTCTAAAATTAGTAATAATCGGAACTATGTTTGTAAGTGATCACAATAGTAATAACTGCAAGTAGATGGTCTTGTAAGAACCTGCATATGTTATAATTAATTTACCTTAATTATAATTCATATCATTAAGACAGAATGGAACAATGGTTAAAATATGTTGGATGATAGACTCAGTAAATAAAAACATTTTGACAGGCTATAATGTATCCCTTGTAACAATGGGAGGAATGTACCAAAGTGAAACAGAATAGAAACTCATTGAGTTAATGGTAGTTATTGTGTGTAGGCACTGTGTTTAGGCAGCAGGGACACAGGTGAAGAAAACCTGTCTTCCATTTGGGAGTCTTATAGTTTAGTAGTGCATGATCGATCAATAAATACTTGAATGTGATGCCATGTTAGAACTATGATAGATGCATAGGTAGCTGAAAAGAGGGAGGAGTGAACTCTTATCCAGGAGAAGGTTGGATGAGAATCTAAGCCAAGTCTTAAAAGTTGAGTAAAGGTTTACTTGGCTTGGGTTGAGAGGAAGTTCAAAGTTGTTGTAAGAAGAGAGAAGGCAGAAGGAACAATGCTTAGAATGTTGCTCTCAAAGAAGCCTGTGCTCACAAAGGTACAGAAACGTAAAACAGGTTTGGGACACTATAAGCAGTTTAGTGTAAGCAAGAGGCAGAAGTGCCAGCGTGAGGCTGGTGGGGAGGCAGGCACTTGGGTTGTCATACGCACAATGTGAAGAACAGCATGTTAGGGCGGGGCCAGGTAGGGTAATTTGGAGGGTGGATTAAAGAAATACTACTTAGGAAACTTGCTAACAATCCAGACAGGAAATGACTGTGGTCCAGACTAAAGCAACGGCAGTGGCTATGGAGAGGAAGAGATAGAGATGAGTGGTATTCAAAAAGACTGAGTCCACATGTCAAGACCTTCAGTTAATTTTAGAAAAAACAAAAGAGAGATGAAAGAAAGTACATTTAAAAGACACCATGTTCAAGGTCAAATAGGAAGATCTTGTCAAACCCTAAAGTGACTGGGGACTCCACTGTACAGCTTCAGAAGACAAAAGTCTGGAGCTCTGTTCTTTGTGATGGTCAGACTGCGTCGGGGGTGTTAATTCTGTTGTAGACTTGGGGATTAGGCCCTGGGCATAAAAGTAAATAAGACTCAGGCCTTTCTCTTGAGGGTTTTAAAGTTTAGAAAGATACTGTGAACCTGTGACTAACTAAGCAGATGTGACAAAGCCCCATGGGTGCAGTGACTGATGCATATATATTGTTCCTTTAAAGGGGAGAGATCAAGCATCTTTAGAGGACAGAAACCAGGAGGGAGGGAGAATTTGAAAGCTAGTAATGGGTGATTGAACTGGGACTATTTGACCTAAAGAAAGTATCTGCATTAGTTATCTATTGCCACCAAATATAGCAGCTTTAAACATCAAACATCTGTTTGTTTCTGTGGGGCAGGAATCAAGAAATGGCTGAGCTGGTCTTTCATGAGGTCGCACCTGGGTCTGTGTGTGAGCTCGCGGGCTCATCTAGGCTGCGGACCCATTTTTAGGTTCTCTTATGTGGCTCTTGGCAAGAGGTCCCATTCCTTGCCATGTGGGGCCCTCTGGGTTTGTTCACACGTGGCTCTGGCTTCCCCCAGGAGTGATTTAAGGCAGGGAGCTCCGCATTTTATCACCTCGTCTCTGAGTCACTCATTGCGTCCTTGTTCTTTTCATTAAAAGTATGTCACTAAGTCCAGCCCACACAGAGGAGGGGAGCTAAGCTGCACATCTCAAAGGGAGTAGTATCAAAGAATTCAAGGACCTATTTTTAAAACCACCACAAGATGTCTTAGAGAGGACATGACAACTGTCTTCAAATATTTGGAAAGTGTTGTCAGAAGCTGCAGGCAGATGGGTTTGGCTCCACCTAAAGGGATAAATGGAATTGTTCAGAGATGGAACAGGCACCTGGGGAGGTGTCGAGCCCATGTTCCTGGAGGGCAGTGTGGCAGGCTGGGGTGGACCCTGGTAGTGTTGCTTAGGAGGGTCTTGCATTGGACAGGGACTTGACTAGATCAGGATTGGGTAAACAAGAGCTGCCAGTAAGTAAAGCTTTATTGGAATACAGCCATGCTTATTCATGTTTGTACACACTAGCTGTTTCTGTGCTATGGTGTCAGAGCTGAGTTGTGTAACAGAAGCCATACATCCTATAAAGTCTGAAATATTTACTACCTGGCCCTTTTTCAAAACATTTAGTAGCCCTGGACTGGATAACCTTGAAGATCCCTCCCAGCCATGAGGGGCATTGTGAGATGGTATTTTTAAAAGATTTGTTTTTTCCTTTTAGGAATTTTCTACTTCTACGATGTATTTATGGGTAGAAATGTTGGGGGCAGGGCTTTATGTATTTATAATTACTTATTATTTTTTTCAGTACTGGATTTAAACCAAGGGAGCACTGAGCTCCATCTCCATCTCTTTCTATTTTTTAAATTTTGAAACATGGTCTCACTAAGTTGCCCAGGCTGGCCTGGAACTTGGGATCCTCCTGCCTCAGTCTCCCAAGTACATGGGATTATAGATGTGTACAACCATGCTCTTCGACAGGGGACTTTTACACAGTCAGACATTGTGAAGACCATTCTGCATCATATTGGGCATAAAGTACGTGAAATTTTCTAGATGGATGATGCTGAGATCTGAATTTTTTTTTTTTTTTGACAGCTCCTGACAGAGAAGGTTGTTTGTGTTGCCGCTGGACTGAGGCATGCATTAGCTGCTACAGGTGATCATTTTGCCTTTGTTTCCTAAATGGGCATATAAGAAGAAGCAACTGAGCTTTAGGAGAAAGACCTTGTTCAAGGAGTGTTTAGAAGGGTCCTTGCTTTTTTTACAGTTCTGATTAAAAGGGGGGATCATAAGGCAGATGTTGTGTGGGAAAGCCTGTAGCAGAAGGCGGGGAGGAAATGAAAGTTTCTAGTTCTTTTTGTTCTGGGTATGGTGCTAGATTTGTCTTGATTTGATTTATTTAATCCTCACAAGCAGGAAGTGGTGTGAGTTAAACTATTATATGAGAAGAAACTGAGGTCCTGAGAGGTTAAAGCACTTGTGCATGTTACATATGGGGTAAGGTAGGTGGGATCAGCTTCTGGGATGTCTGGATATCAAGGTCCAGATTGTTTGCCGTGAACTGCACTGCATTCCTAATACATATTATTAATTTAAAGCTTTAGGTAAGCTTGTTTTCTGTACCAGGAGTAACCTTTTGGGGTTGACTTTTTTTCAGTCAACATAATTCCCTGGAGATTCATCAAGTTTTGCATAGCTATCATTTGTTTTTCTTTTTTGCTGAGTAGCATTGCATGGTATGGCTGTATCACTGTGTAAGTCTGGTAGGACTACCATAACAAAATACCGCAGACTAGATGGCTAGAAGAACAGAAATTAATTTACTTATTGTTCTTGAGGCTCAAAGCCCAATATCAGTATACCAACAGGATTGGTTTCTGATGAGACCTTTTTTTGGGGGGTCTTCTGTCCTTCAGTAGCCTTTCATCTGTACACTGGTGGAGTGAGAGAGATCTCTGGTGTCTTCCTTTTATAAGGACACATATCCTATTGGATTAAATTCCCACCATATGACACCATTTAACCTTTATTACCTCCTTATAGGTCCTGTTTCCAAATATAGTCATCTTGGGGATTAGGGCTTCAACATTTTAATTTTGGAAGGACACAGTTCAGTCCATTATAGCCACAGTTTAGCCACCTGCAGAAGAACATTTGGGTTATTTCCAGTTCGGGGCTCTCAGGAGGAAAACTATGGGGTGGGGTGTGGTGCACACCTGCAATCCCAGCTAGTTGAGAAGCTGAGGCAAGAGGAACTGAATTTTGAGGCCAGCCGGGATGTAAGAGCATTCCCTGGATTCAGTCCTCACTACCATGCACACACAAAGGGCTGCTATAAACATTTGTGGACAGGTTTTTATATGAACATCAGTTTTCTTATCTATGAGATAAATGTCTGTTAGTATGATTGTGTAGTTGTATGGTAGTGATTGTATGTGTTTTTCTTTTTTTTTTTTGGTACCCAGGATTGAACTTGGGACCTTGCACTTGCAAGGCAGGTGATAGAACCACTGAGCTAAATCCCTGGCCTGATTGTGTTTTTTTAATATACACAAGTTCTACTCTTAGAAATCAGTAAAACAAGAAAATTGCCTATTATGCTTCCTCCTGCCATCTACCAAATTTCTGTGCTTGCTAGTCTTTTTTTTTTTAAAACCAAGTGTATTGCAGTAAAGTTGAATAACTGCATACATTTAATTTTATAATTTGATGGATTTGGAGATTTGCAAATATCTGTGATGCCTTCATCACCACCATTATGGTAATAAACATATCCAACATCTCCCAAAGCTGTTTTAAGTCCCTTTGAGGGGTGTGAGTGTGTGTGTGTGTGTGTGTGTGTGTGTGTGTGTGTGTGTGTGCTTGTGCGTGGTGTCAAGAACATGTAACATGAGATCTACCTTCTTAAATGTTGAGGTGTGCCATGCTGTACTTGTATGTTATCTGTAGGCAGATGTTAACTGTTGTAGAGCAGATCTCTAGAATTTACTCATCTAGCATGGAAGCCTTAGACTCACTGAACAGCTCTCCATTTCCCCTGCCCCTGTGTCCTGACAACCACTATTGTGTTCTCTGCTTCTGTGAATTTAACTTTCACAGGTGCCTAACATAAGTGGTATTATGCAGTATTTATTCTGTGTCTGGTTTGTTTTACCTAGAATAATGTCATCCAGATTCATATTGTCATAAATGGAAGGGTTTTCTTTTTAAAGGCTGAATAGTATTCTGTCAAATGTATATACTAGATGTTGTTACTCATCTTTGCAAAGACATGGATGTTTCCAAGCTTTGGCTTCTGTAAGTAGTACTGTGGTCAACATGGGGTGGAGTGCAGATATCTCTGCAAGATCCAGATTGTCGTTCTTGTGGGTATACAGACAGAAATGGGATTGCTGGATCATATGCCAATTCTATTTTTAATTTTTTTGAGGAACCTCCATACTGCTTTCCACAGTTGCAACCCCATTTTTCATTCTTCAGAACAGTGTACAAGAGTTCCAGTTTCTTTATATCCTCACCAACACATTAAAAAAAAAGTAGGCACCCTAACAGATGTGAAGGGAATTCTCAGTGGGGTTTTGATTTGTATTTTCTTGATAATGATTTTGATCATCTTTTCATGTACCTGTTGGCCATTTGTATGTCTTCCTTGGGAGATATATCTACTCAAGTCTTTGTCCGCTCTGAAATTTTTTGTTATTGAGTTGGAGTCCCTTATAAATTTTAGACATCAACCCCTTAAAGCTGGTGACTCATGCCTAAAATCCCAGCACTGAGGAAGGCTGAGGCAGAATTACAAATGTGATTCTCACTTGGACAGCTTAGCAAGACTGTGCCTCAAAAAAGGAAACAAAAGAAAAAAACAGTCAGGGAAGGACTGAATGAATGAATGAATGATTGAAGAAATGGATGGCTGAGTATGTGGTTCAGTTGTAGAGTGCTCTGGGTTTGATCCACAGCACAGAAAATAATTGGCTTCATCAGATATATGGCTTGCAAAATATTGAATATAATTGCTAGTCTTAAGTATTCATTTTTTGTCCAGTTATGAAGTAGTACCGTTTGCATTATGTTTGACTAACTTAATTATAAGTCCTCCTCTTCCTCATTTTTATCTGTAAATATTTTTACATGTAACCCTAAAAGATAAGTATTCTTTTTGAAAATATTGTGGTAATATCATCATCAGACCTAAAAAATTAACAATTCTATAATATCATTAAATATCCATTGTCTTTTTTTTTGGTACTGGGGATCGAACTTGGGACCTTGTGCTTGCTAGGCGGGTGGTGGAACACTGAACTAAATCCCCAGCCTTATCCAGTGTCTTTTGAATCACTGTCTGAGTTAGTTTTGCATATTACAGTTGATTGATGGGTATCTTTAGTCTCTCTTAAAAATTTATTTTTTTGAATTTTTTATTGCAATAAAATATATATAACATAGCATTTTCCATCTTAACCATGATTAAGTATATAGTTCAGTAGTATTAAGTACATTCATATTGTGAGTCATTATCACTACCCGTCTCCTGAACTTTTTTTATCTTTTTTTCCTCATTGAGTTTATTGGTACATTTTAGGTATACAGTACATTTACATTCATCATTGGGATCTTGTACCTTTACATGACAGGTCTTGATTCTCATTTTTTCCCCTTGTCCCTGCCCTCCCTTCACTCCCTCCTCCCCTTTACACACACTCCATTTCCATTTTTTCATTTTCTCATATTTTTTTTCCCTTATTAGCTTTCCCCTACCCTTCCCACTTTCCCTACACCTTTTGCCCCTTTCTTCCTATTTCACATTGTCCATTGTATCATTAGGATCTTATACACTATTATAGTTTATTCACACCATAGAAACTATTTGGTATTTACACATGTGTGACTTATTTATTTCACTTAGGAGTATATCCTCGATATGTATCCATTTTCCTATGAATGAATCTAATTTCTCCTTCTTTATGGCTGAGTAGTATTCCATTGTATAGAAAAACCACATCTTCTTTATCCAGTTTCCAACTGATGGGCAAATGGGCTGTTTCTAAGTTCTAGCTATTATAAACTGTGCCGCTATAAACATAGGTGCACATATATCTCTGTGATATGATTCTTTTAATTCTTTTGGAAAGATACCCAGCAGAGGGATGACTGGGTCAAATGGGAACCTCTAGTCCTAGCTCTTTGAGGTATCTCCATATTGATTTCCATAGTGATTGCACCAGTCTGCATTACCATCAACAATGGAGAAGGGTTCCTTTCTCCCCACAACCCCGCCAACATTTGTTATTGTTTGATTTCTTGATAGCAGCCATTCTTTGTGGGGTGAGGTGGAATCTCAGTGTTGTTTTCATCTGCATCTCTTGAATGACCAGTGATGTGGAACACTATCATATATTTACTTGCTGTTTTAACTTCTTTGTCTGAGAAATGTCCATTCATTTCAATGGCCATTTTAGAATTGGGTCTTTATATTTGTGGGGGCTGATCGTTTCGAGTTCTTTATATATTCTGGATAATAGTCCTTTGTCTAAGGAGCAGCTGGTAAAAATTTTTTCTCACATTGTAGGTTGTCTCTTAGTTCTTTTGATGGTTTCTTTTGCAGTGCAGAAGCTTTTTAATAAGATGAGATCCCAGTTGTTGAATCTTTCTGTTAGTTCCCATGCTACTGAGGATTTGTTCATAAAGTCTTTTCCTATGCCAGTGTCTTCAAGAGTTCTGCCTAACTTATCTTCCAGAAAATTTAGTGTTTCTGTTTTAATATTTAGATTTTTAATCCACTTGGATTTTACTTTAGTGCATGGTGAAAGATAAGGGTCTAGTTTTAATCTTTGGCAGGTTTAGATCCAGTTTTTCCAACACCATTTATTAAAGAGGCTATCTTTCCTCCACTGAGGATGGTCAGCTCCTTTGTCAGAGATGAGGTAGCTGAGTGCATCTGGAGTTGTTTTTGTGTCTTCCAGTCTGTTCCACTGATCCTCAGGTCTGTTTCTTTGCCAGTACCATGCTGTTTTTATCACAGTGGCTTTTTGTATAGCTTCAAATTGGGAATTGTTATACTCACTGCCACGTGTCTGTTGCCTAGGATGGCTTTTGCTATTCTAGGTCTCTTAGGGTTCCAAATGAATTTTTGGATTCTTTTTTCTAGTTCTGTGA